GCTCGCTGTTTTTCTTTTTGACAGTGCACTATGCTTTGGACCATCTTCAGGGCAGCTCTGACAATAAGGTTCAGAACATGGGCAAAACAGGGTATGTGGTCCCAGTGAAGGTCTCTCACAGCTGACACAATGTTGGCAGATAATTGTCTTTATGGTGCTCCTGTAGAAGTTGACCAGGAGTTGAGAGGTGAGTTTTGCTTTGTTTCCTCATGAAGAAGAGCCACAGTTGGGCTTTTTTCACCAGGTGAGAGGTGTTGATGGCCGATTTGAGATCCATAGAGACGTGCATTCACAGGAATTTGATTTCACGTACACTCTTCACCTCCTCACTATTAATGTGGAAAGAGGGAGGTGTGGTCTTCGTGGTTCTCGTAAAATCCACAATGATCTCTTTGGTATTGTAGTGTTGAGTTATTGTCAGTACACCACTCGCCAGATGTTGTACCTCTTATCTGTAATGCGCCTCCTTGTTGTCTGATTTCAGACCTACTATAGTGGTGTCATCAGCGAACTAGTGTTAGAGGAGTGGACAGGTGTGCGGTCATGGTTGTAAATTGTGAAAATGGCCTCACTGAGAAAGCAGCCCTGCGAAGCTTGTGTGTTTAGCATGAGTGTGGAAGATATGCAGTTGTTGGTCAGGAAGTCCATAATAATAGTGCAAAGCGTAGTGGATCCAAGGTTATTGACTTTTTTTACCAGTTTATGGGGGACGGTTCCCTGCCGTATTACTTGTGTGTGTGTTTCCCATTAATGGCCGGTGCTCCAGTTTAAAGCTCCACCTTCCTAGCATCTTGGTTGATGGTTGATCACCCTCGGCCTCGTCGCCACCATGTGTGTGATTGTCCTGATATCTAAATAGATACCTTACCTTTTAGTCACCTGTCTCCCTCATTAGGTCATGGCTGTCTGAGAGAGGTTGTGAGAGTTGGGGGCTCGTCTGGGATCCGTGTTGATCGATTTTGCGACACTGGGGTAGGTGTTTTTTTTATATATTGTTACTGCCCATGCTTAGTTGTTCATAAATCTACTTCATCGTAGATGTCACAAAGTTGTAAGTGGGGTTTCCCTGGATCCAGTATAGCGCTGTCTCGGGGAGGTACTTATGATTGTGGGCCTTAGCGGGAGACCAACGCTTTTGTTAGGGGATGCAGTAGGTTGTTCACACGATTTGGTATATAGATTAGGGTTGTACTGCAATGCTTTGGTTGTTATTCTGGGAATCAGGAATCAGGAAACATTTATTTACCTAAATATGCCAAACATACAAGGAATTTGTCTTGGCGGTTAGTGCGCGACAGTAGACAGACAAGACAGCAGTGCACAAGTAATAAAATAAAGTAAAATGAAATGCTAATGCAATGGGTTAGTAGAATAAGGCTATGGGTTAGTATAAAACAAGGGAATAAAGTTAAAAATTTTAAATATTAAAAAAGTTAAAAAGACAAATATTAAGCATAAAGTGCACTAACGAACAAGTAACAAACAAGTAACAAAGTGACGAGTGATGACAAAGTGATGAATTACAGTTAAAGTGGCATGTGCAGTGTGAAGGGGAGTGACCGGTGGAATGTTATAGTCAGTCAGTGGGGGACCGGGCTCTGTTGATGAGCCCGACTGCCGACGGGAAGAAACTGTTGGTGTGGCGGGAAGTCTTAGTCCTGATGGACCTCAGCCTCCTGCCAGATGGAAGGGGCACAAACAGTTTTTGTCCGGGGTGAGAGGGGTCGGCCACGATCTTTTTAGCACGCTTCAGAGACATGGAAGCGAACAAGTCCTGCAGGGACGGCAGATTGCAGCCGATCACCCTCTCTGCAGAGCGGATGACACGCTGCAGCCTGCCCTTGTCCTTGGCTGTGGCTGCAGCGTACCAGACGGTGATGGAGGAGCAGAGGATGGACTCGATGATGGCCGTGTAGAAGTGGATCGTCATCGTCTTTGGCAGGTTGAATTTCTTCAGCTGCCTCAGGAAGAACAACCTCTGCTGAGCCTTCTTGGTGATGGAGCTGATGTTCAGCTCCCATTTGAGGTCCTGGGTGATGATGGAGCCCAGGAAACGGAAGGAATCCACAATAGTGACGGGGGAGTCACACAGGGTGATGGGGGAGGGTGGGGCTCGCCGGAAATCCACAACCATCTCCACTGTCTTTAGAGCGTTGAGCTCCAAGTTGTTCTGACTGCACCAGGACACCAGATGGTCAGACTCCCACCTGTAGGCGGACTCATCCGCACCAGAGATCAGTCCAATGAGGGTGGTGTCATCCGCAAACTTCAGGAGCTTGACGGACTGGTGACTGGAGGTGCAGCTGTTGGTGTAAATTCTAGTGTTGGTGTCAAAACTGTGAATCAAGGTAATGTTCATGTTGTCTGGCTGGTTCCCTTAGCATAGCTCTGATGCTAAAGGTCAGACGCCCTGTCAGATTCAGTGGCGTTAGTAAAATCTTGTCTCGGGAGCACGTCCAAAGATGTCAATTCCACCCTCATGGAGTGACAATATTTCCACCATTCCAAAAGTGGGCAAGAATAAAATGCAATGTTGCTGAGTAGACTGATCTACCCATTTTAAATCAGGATTTCTCACTGCATCCATCATATCCAGGTGGTTGTATCTATTTTTCCCTTTCCTAATTGACAGGAATGAGACCAGTCATGTTCAGGGCATGCAATCTCAAGATAATATTAGATGCTCTCTTCATATTCTAGAAAACATCAGGAAAACTAAACGTAGTCAGCCTAGATCAGTTGAAAGCTTTTGATTGCGTGAGCTGGGGATACTTAGGGTCCTCTCTACGACTTCTTAGAGGAACCTATTGTACTTCAAGGAATTATTATTATTAGGGTCCTCGCTATGACTACTCTTAGAGGAACCTATTGTATTTCAAGGAATTATTCTTCTCTAAGGTTTTTTGCATTTTGGGGTTTTTATAATATTCCTTAAACTGTTAGATTTGACGTGCATATCATGACCGGTAAAAAAAAGTTGTTGATATTTTTGGGGTCTCACAGTTGGGTATAGAGACTCTATAGCGCCCCCTAGAAAATTGAAGAAGACCACAGTAACACAGTATTTCCCCCCGATGACAGATTGACTTGAAATTTGGCACACATGCTCTTGATTTTCCGCCATTTTTCATCTTGTCAAAAACACATTTTTGCCCACTCCCCCTAAACGCTGAGTCCGATCTCACCTAATTTTCTCTGCATCGTTATTGGTTCAATATCACAAGTAAGGCTTGTTGATATCTTAATGTCTTGAGGAGATATGGACCAATTAACTTCTAAGGCTTGTGGCTTAATATGTCAAGACCCATACCTTTCAAATGACTTGGCCTGCCCTCACCAAATTTGTAGGTTAAGTCCACATTGCTTCCCTAAACATAACCTTTTTTTTTTAATAACATTTGAACTAGTGGGCAGTGCGGCTGAATTTTTTTGTTATTGGAGTTGTAAAAGGTTGAACATCTCCCACATATTAAACCTGATTCTTTTTAAATTTGGTAAGTATGATCTTGAGATATTTGCCTTTTAAAAATTGTATAAGGCTTGAAAAAATATTGCACTATGTGAGCGTGGTGCTTTGGAAAAATACCACAATTTTTTTGCCTTATACCCTGCTCCTCGCAGATTAATCAGATAACTATGTTGTCAGAAAAGACCTAAGACCTTGATAATGTTAAAGATAAAGTGTCATTCCCGGCATAGCTCCACGTGGTTAACATCAACTGACTCTCGGACACTTTATCCATTCTCTGCCACGCTTGTAGCTGCCCAGCCAGTGCTGTGTTATGCGCACAGTAGCAAGGACCCGTCAAACGTTGCTCGCAGCTTAATTGTGTTTGGTTCCGGAACGATTTGGTTTTGCCGAAAAGTAAATTAACAGTATTAACGCTCTATATTCTGCCCTGACAGCAAGAATCTAACTTAATGGACATCTTACTGACCTGCATACAATTTCAAAGATCCACCTCGCCAGGGGAGCTCAACCTCTCCCTACGTTTTTGGCACTCTACATGGAGCCTTTGCCACAAGAACATAATAAAACGCAGTGATATAAAAGTAATTCTGATAAGTATAAGGAACGTAAACCGCCCTGTCTCATCTACCTTACACACCTGATTTTATGATTTAAATCTACCATTCCACAACTACCATTCAGGTACCTCCTGAAAATATTAATAGTAGAAGACAAAAAAAGCAATTACTCATCGGTGGTTACCCACCGTTAACTGAACTGAAATCATTAAAGAAATCTATGAAAGGGAAAGATGAACTTTCCTAATGAGATTAAGAAAGAACAAATAGGTGAGTAAAATGGATCAAATATTTGTCAGAACAAAGGATCGGGCAGGTGACTTGCCTCACCAAACCTCACATTTTGGTATTATGTTGCTGTAAAAGCTCATTATCTCTTAAAAAAGACCAGAACTCCCTTCAACCAGGATGTTTATGCTTTTGCGTTTTCAGAGCGACGCAGATGCAAGACCCCCTTGCGTGCCTTTTCACACCTCCTTGCGTCCGTGCGTGCGTCGACCCATTTCTCTAGGTTTGCGTCGCTTTCGACGCTGTCTGCGATGAAAAGCAGCAGTGGCGATGCACAGGGCAATAAAGTCTATGATAAATAAATAACAAACCAACAACTTCCACACACAAGACGTGACTCTCTAGGTCGTCTTCAACAAAAACACGTTACTCCACCTGTTGTTCTGGCGGTGAATTGCTCTCCAACACACGCAAGACTTTAGAACCATGAATTGAAACGAGTGCGTCGATGCAACGACGCAGACGCAGAAGCATGCGCCAGCCTTTACTCCATGTAATCTAGATCCAAGTTTGAACCCGCTGGACTTATTTTCTGGAATCTTTTTGTATCTCTGAATTTATGGTATTACCTCGATTTTGACTATTACCTTATAGGTATAGTCAAAATACATACGAGTGTACATACTTACCACCTATACCTTCCATGCTTATGTTTAAAACACATATTTACAGGTTTGTCTTACCTAATTAGGATTTAACTCCTGTTCCTCGCGTGAAAGTATTTCGTTAAGAAGTTAACTTTGGATTGTGATGTTCCTCCTTCCACACTTGAAACAGCAATCTTATTGTTTCCTCTGGTATCAGAGCTTCAGAGATGTTGTTGGTGAAATCCAGCTCCTTTATGGTGGCTCCAGTTGATTTAACCCCAGGAATAATCTTCTCCCAGGAAGTTTCAAAACTCTTTCCAATGAGATCACAAGCATGATTAGAAATTATTAAAAAGTTATAGAATTATAGAAAATTTGAATGGCATATAGTGTTATATATATATGAATATTAATGATTTTCCTTCCCTCAGCGTTGTGTAAAGTAGTGAACAAAACACAAAGTAAGCCACGTAAGGAGCACTCCTCAGTTGCCTTTAGCTAGTCATGTCCGTTTGTTTGCTTTGGTGACTTATCTGTGGGGATGGGGCAAAACATTTTAAATCTCTTCTCCCCAGGTGTTTGTCGGCCAGAAGGTTCAGTTGTAAGATTGATATGACCGCTAAGAAGTTGTTTACTATTGGATGGATGGGTGGCGCAACATCGTGTTTTGAGTCCTGGCCTTTGCTGATAAGGTTGGGTTTCATATACTGGGCTTGGTGGGTGTTCCTAACCTCCCCTGATGTTACATGTTTTATATACAAGTAAAAAAGAAAGTGACATTACTTCTTGATTCTTTTTTTTTAGCAAATGTAAATATGTTTGTTGAGTTCCCATCAAACATGGATAATAACATGCAACAGACTTGGTCCGTGAAGTGATCATTGATCAAGTTACCAAAAGGAGATGCTGTTCTGAATGATATCAGATTATTATTAAAGACTCCACTGTCAGTCTCTCTACAGAACATATGAACTATGAGAACAGTGGTCGCATGTTTTCCTTGACTTTGCAACTTTAACGGTTTGCTTTTCTATTTCGGCATCCTGTGCTGCCCAAATGTTAGACAAAAGATGTCTAAGAAGTGCAGACTTCTTGTTTTTATTTAGGTATAGTATACAATGAATCAAGCATCGGTGTACACTACGTCAACGTAGTTTTTTGCAGTCAACAAAATATAAAATTCTGTCTCTCACCCGTCTCTTTCCATTTCCCTAACCAAACTTTGAAGACACACCTTTAACCCCATTGATGCCACACACCATGTGACTCAACTAACGTAAGGGAAAGAAAAGGGGCGTACCAGGTGGCACCAACAATGTGGGTTCTACAACGGCTACTGCGTAAAGTGTGTTTGCACCATTGATATTCTCTACTGAACTATGAACTGTTAAGTTAAGTTCCAAAATTTCCCTCTTGAGGGATCAATAAAGTATCTATCTATCTATCTATCTATTAAGAAATAGCACCTGGAATCCCCACAAATGATGCAACAATTAAGGTGGACGTCATGAGCGATGTGAATGAATGAGATGGTGCGAGCTCTCTCAATGCTTTTTGCACGTACGGGCTATTTTTCTCTAGACTGAAATACGATACACAAATGTGTATCGCATTTCTCATTTCATTTCAGGTGGCTACATCTATTTTGTGCTGAAAGGCAGCTATTTACTTATTATTTATAATTTCTCTGGTAACCGTATTATAAAAGCAATAAGGTGCTTGAGGTAGTCGTTTATCTTCAATAATGTTCGAGGGTTGCCGGCTCTGTGCTGCACGTGGGGCTTAACAACACCCCAATGTATTACATTATTGGACGATAAAGTACAGCCTCTCGTACTTTATTGCTTAAATAACGTCTTGTTTTGAGAGCTGTAAATATCAAGTCAGTTGCTCGTGTTTCCTTACTCTTCATTGTGTATTTTTTCTTCTTTGCTTATCGTGTTAACGTAACTTCACGTTCCCTTGAAATTCTCTGTTGGGTATTTTTTTACAACAGAAACTAGTGGCTTATCCGATGGTTCCTCACCAAAATATCCGGGAGTCGTTAAATAGCCCCAATATTGGGTTTTGGCTAGCTGCATGAAATTTTGGCAGCTGCATGAAATTTGCACATGTAAAGCAATGCTACGTACAAAATATCCTCTAATAACTCTAAACAACAGGATTTTAACTACTTTGTGTTTTAGGATGTTTTTTGTTTCAAGGCGCTGTGCTTTAACGTTTAGTCTTCCTAGAGATTGACTTCATAATCGTTTGTTATCATCTTAAAGGCTTGATGGTAACATTTTTCAAAAGGTCAAAAGGTTACTACTCTACGTATCCGTGGCGTAATGGCAAACAGCATTTACTATGAAACAAAAGGTTTTTCAGCCGTACTTTGTCTAGCCTGCTCCAAATTTCTCATGTGTCAGAATTTTATTTTAAGACATTAATGTGACACTTTAAAATTATGATAAGAGCGCCACCTAGTGGTAACAAGAAGTCAGAGGTTGTGCACTTTCACATCCTCTTCCTCACACTTAATCAGATCCATCTCATATTTTGTCAGAAATGCCTTCAGACAATAATAATGCTCTATGGTAAAGGTTGTTTTAAAGGAAGTGGCGTGGCGGCCTTGCAAATTTAGATCCTTCGCCCAGCCTGCCGAAACTGCATGGCGAGCGGCATTTAAGAGCCTTCGGTCCAAACTTCTCGTGATAGAAGCACAAGCCTGAAGAAGACTGCTGGGGGCCTGAAACTTGCTGACGACCTGAAGACAGCTGCCGACGAGAAGAGGTAGCATAAAACAGATAAATGTACTTTCCTGAGGTGCTATTTTGAGGAAAACACTGTTAACCAATGATTCTTGTGTTCTGTGCGTTTTTAAGCCTTCTCTCGGCCTGCAAACGCCTTAATAGTCAAGAAAGCACCAAAACCTAGTTTGAACGAAAAAGGTTGGAAAACTATTCACAAACCATGATACCATCGTAAAACAGATACATCTACTTTCCTGAGGTGCTAGATTCAGGAAAACACTGTTAACCAATGCATTCTTGTGTTCTGTGCGTTTTTAAGCCTTCTCTCGGCCTGAAAACGCCTTAATAGTCAAGATTGCACCAAAACTTATTTTGAACAAAAAAAGTTGGAAAACTATTCACAAACCATGATACCACCATGAAAAGGATGAATGTACTTTCCTGAGGTGCTAGTTTGATGAAAACACTGTTAACCAATGCATTCTTGTGTTCTGTGCGTTTTCAGCTTTCTCTCGGGCTGCAAACCACTTAATAGTCATGAATGCACCAAAACTTAGTTTGAACAAAAAAGGTTGGAAAACTATTCACAAACCATGATACCACCATGAAAAAGATAAATGTAGTTTTCCTGAGGTGCTAGTTTTAGGTAAACACTGTTAACCAATGCATTCTTGTGTTCTGTGCGTTTTCAGCTTTCTCTCGGCCTGCAAACGCCTTAATAGTCATGAATGCACAAAAACTTAGTTTGAACAAAAAAGGTTGGAAAACTATTCACAAACCATGATACCACCATGAAAAGGAGGAATGTACTTTCCTGAGGTGCTAGTTTTAGGTAAACACTGTTAACCAATGCATTCTTGTGTTCTGTGCGTTTTCAGCTTTCTCTCGGCCTGCAAACGCCTTAATAGTCAAGATTGCACCAAAACTTAGTTTGAACAAAAAAGGTTGGAAAACTATTCACAAATCATGATACCATCATAAAACAGATACATGTACTTTCCTGACGTGTTAGTTTGATGAAAACACTGTTAACCAATGCATTCTTGTGTTCTGTGCGTTTTCAGGTTTCTCTCGGCCTGCAAACGCCTTAATAG